TTGGGGGCATAAAAAATATTGATAATATATATGATGTGAGCTCTTTAGGGAAGGGGGAAAGAAGGTACTAAGAATATACATTTTTAAAAATTGATAGAGGGTTGGGCATGTTTGATATTATCAACAAAACCTCTCACAGTAGATGGTTACATTTACTATAGATTATCTTCAGTAGTTGTTATGAGGATTTATAGTGTATTTAAGCACTGAAGTTCTAAACTTACACACCTTGGGTTCAAATATTGTTCTACTACCCTGTTGTCTGTGTGACTTTGGACAAGAGACTTGAATCTCTCTGTGCCTTAGTTTCCTTGTTGGGAAATGAAGAAAAAAATAGTGCCTATTACTGGGAGGAATAAATGGGATAATCTGTGTAAAACACAGCACAGTTCCTCTTAGATTAAGATGCAGCAATATTATTAATGTAAAACACTTGACGGTAATCGTAATTATTTCTAGTGGTTCTAGGTTATTCACATGTTAGTGTGTCCCCAAACAGTGAAGGTCTTTGGCAGTAGGTGGTATGAAGATTCCTCTACGTTCCTGTTAGGTGTTGAAGATAATCCTGAGAAACCCAGTCATGGTAAGGAAGGACTGAGGATCTAAGTTTCTGTGACCTGTGTGGTCCTTGAGAGTCAGTCATTGAATTGCCACTCAAACATACTTATGAAGCACCTATTTATATGAGATGGTATTGAATGATCACTCACAAATATTAGTAGCTTTGTGACAAGTAGCCGCGGAAGGGTTAACACACACTGCACGGAGAGTCCATTTGTGTGCCTTTGTTACTGCTATCAGTGTGTGTGTGGAGAGGTGGGGAAGGTAACATCTTTTTATTCTTACTGTTTGATCCACCAACTTAGTTATCTCATACTAAAAGGTTTAAAAAATTGTAGCTCCAGTGTAAACACATTTACCCATGCCAGTGAATAAATTTGCTCATTTATTTCATCAAATGGAGAACAGTTGTCTACTACTTTTTCACAGTTCTCTAATAACAAGTAAAGAAAGTAGAAGCATTTTCTTTTCCCAGCTTATGATACATTTGACCCACAAAATTTTAGAGGACAGTTGTTTTAGGTAGCACAATTATCAAGACTTCCTTTCTTGTCTTACAAATAGGTAAAATGGTGGAGGGTTTTAAATTTCTAGATTGCTTTTTTATTATTTTAAAATTAGAGGACCAGAACACAACTGTAGTAAAAACATTGGCCAGAGTTTCAGATTATTAACATGATTACTAGAAGGTTGCATATTCAAGTTTAAGAACAAGAACCCATAATTCTACAATTGTCTTTTGTGTACAAAGGTGATGTTACCAACCCAATCACCTCTTGTGGATTGCTTAGTTTTGCTAGTTTCTTTTCAATGAAACGACATGGATTCTTCCATTTACATGACATTTTGAAACAAGGTGTTTCAGAGAAGCCAATTTAAATTCTACATCTGCTTTGGAAAATGTTGGTGTATACAGGCAGAGTGGCTTTCATCTGTCTACTTTTAGTACCAGAGAAAATGTTTTTTACTGTATGCTTTACTACATGAGCTGCTTTACAGAATGTAGTTCCCATTATCTAATCAGTCTCAGAAAAGCACTAAGGAAACTCTAGCAGTCTTAACTATAGAGAATCCTTTATATTTGCCACTTAATGCCAACCAACAAATTCTAAGAATAGTTTAAAAGTATCCTGACAGAAGTTACCCTGCTGGAAAGACTAATTATCTTAGAAGTCTCAAAGTTTTGGAAAACTTAGAATTAGAAAGAAAGAAAGAAAGAAAGAAAGAAAGAAGGAAGGAAGGAAGGAAGGAAGGAAGGAAGGAAGGAAGGAAGGAAGGAAGGAAGAAAGAAAGAAAGAAAGAAAGAAACCCTATTATTGGAAGATTTTGTGCGTGCCCAAGCCTTCACACTTAAGAGAATAACTGCCAGAATTATATTTGATCTAAAATTATAGCAAAAACATATTTGTTATTTTTTTTTGGTTGTATAAATACATAGGCCCATCTTTCTCTACTTGTAAATCCTGCAATTGATTGCTCAAACATGGATACAATAAATTTGGCGGTACCATTAAAGTTTATTTACAACCATTTGATGTGGTTTCAGGTCTTTGATGATTTGTCTTTAAGAAATGATTTCCAAAAGCTCTGTTGGATGTTACTGTTGAATCTAAATTAATTTTGAATAAATTCATTTTATTTCTTGGAATATTTTTCAGTTTTTCCTTAGTGTTGTTAATGTAAAAATATGTGTATCTGAAAAAGAAATGGAGTTGACAGCATCTTTAATAATATATTTAATAATAGTACTGTGTCAACTTTTATAATTAAGATTCTATACAGGCATTATTCAGTTCTGAGAAAGTCAGCATTAGCTAGGGTACTGAAATTGTTTAGCCAGATAAAGCAAATATTTTATTTGATTTATGTGTAAATTACATAAGTGTGCATACTTCCTCTAATCATCTAGTCCATATTTCTAGTTTAAAAAAATAACCTAGTTGAAATGATTGCTGAAACATATATAAGCCTAAGAGAAACTATTTTGATGTTTTTCTGTTAACTATAGGCCATATAATCTAACATGACCAGTAAAAATAGTGTTTATTCCATTATGGATCTACTTAAGTAAAATCATCCCTGGTAATTTGATTGTTTGCCAGACATTGTGAATTTTTACCTTGTTGGGTGCTGGATATATTTGTAGTCTTATACTCTTGAACTTTGTTCTGGGACACAGCTAAATTACTTAGAAACAGTATGATCCTTTAGAGTCTGCTTTTTAAACCAGAGCAGTGTTTAGACTAGGGCTAATTCTTTCATAATACTAACACCAGGCTGTCCTGAGTACTCTATCAATCCCAGCAATCGAGTTTTTCCAGTTTGGCTGGTGAAACCAGTACTATTCCTGTCCCGGTATGGATTCTGAGTACTGTTTCTGTAATGCTTCTGAGTGCTCTTTCCCTGGCTTTGCAGAGTTTCTACACATGCTTTTGCTGATTAGTAGTGTAGTACTCTGCTGAATATTTAAGGGAAACCATCTGCAGGTCTCTGGAGTTTCTCTCTGAAGCTCTCTCCTCTCTGGTGCTCTCTCCTGGAACTCTAGCTGCCTTGGTCTCTGCAGACTGTCAACTCCATCTCCTCAACCCAGCGGTTTGAAGCTTTCAAACTCTAACCAGGCAGTAAACAGGGGCTCCTCATTTTTTTCCCTTCTCAGAGATTACTGTCCTTGTTGGTGATGTCCAGTATCTTGGGAACTGTTATTTCATATATTTTGTCCAGGTTTTGGTTGTTTCAGGAAGGAGGGTCAGTCCAGTCCCTGTTAATTACATTTTGGCCGGAAGCAGACTAATGTCAGATTAAGTCTTAAATTTACACTAATCTTTTAGTTTAATTTTCCAAAACATAGGTTAAGAGTTTCTGATGATATTATCTCCAAATGAGATTATTTTTCAGGGAGCAAGTCCATGACTTAGTCTAGGCAGAACCACATGATTTTTTCCCTCCAATTTTTAAGACTATATCTCTACCTTCTTTCCTGATAACAAATTTTTTTTTATATTCAGTATTATTTTATACACACAATTTTTTAATCCCTTCCATTCATGAAAACTATCATGTCATTATCTTTTTATTACATTTAAAGCAGGGCTCTAATAAAGATTTAAATTCAGACAATGTGCAGTTGCTATACATTAACATAATGACCAACTTTTTTTCCTACCAGTTATCTTTATTCTTCCCTCCCTGCAATTAAACTGGTAACGAGTCATTGTAAATGGTCTCTACACTCTTTTGGAAAACAAATTGGCATAAAAATTGTTATGTCTCTTGAACAGTTAACCTCACCTGTAGAATTATAGCCAATGTAAATAATCTAAGATATGTAAAAAGCTGTGTCTCTAACAGTGTTAATCATGTTGCTAATTATAATGAAAAAAAATTGGGAATAATCTTAATGTCAGTATAGGTGCCCAATATATAAAGAACTCCTGCAACTCAACAGCAAAAACACCTCCAAAACCCCAAAACAACCTAACATCCAATTTAAAAAATGGACAAAGTATTTGAATACACATTTCTCCAAAGAAGATATACAAATGTCCAATAAACACAAAAATAAAGTAAAATATACTCAACCTCACTGGTCATTAAGGAATGCAAATCAAAAGCACAGTGAGATATCTGTTATACCCATTAGAATTGGTATTATGAAAAACACCAAAAATAACAGGTACTGGTGATGACGTGGAGAAACTGGAACTTTTGTGCATTTCTGGTGGGAATGTAAAATGGTGCAGCTATTGTGGAAAACAGGCAGTTCCTCAGAGTTTTAAATATATTAATATCCATATGACCTAGTAATTCCACTTCTAGGGATACACCCAAAAGAATTGTCAGCAAACTCAAACAGATACTTGCACACCAGTGTTCATAGCAGTAGCATTAGCAATAGTAGCCAAAATGTGGAAACAACCCAAATGTCCATCAACGGATGAATGGATAAACAAAATGTGTTTTCCACATACAATGGAATAATTAGCCTTAAAAAGGAAGGAAATTCGGACACATATTACAACATGGATGAACTTTGAAGACATTATGCTAAGTGAAATAAACCAGACAGGACAAATACTGTTTGGTTCCACTTATATGAGGTACCTAGAATACTCAGATTCATACAGACAGAAAGTAGAATAGTGGCTCTCAGGGCCTGGGGAAAGTTATTGTTTAATGGATATGGAGTTTCAGGTTGGGATGATATAAAAAAGTTCTAGAGATGGATGGTGGTGACGGCTGTACAGTATTGTGAATGTACTTCATGCCATGAACTATACACTGAAAAATGGTTAAAATGGTAAATTTTATGTTATGTATAAAATGTATCTTTTACAGATAAGTGTGTGTGTATATATATATTTTTTAATGAGTGACTCATATTTGAAAAAATAACCTGGGGAGTGCTGCTCAGACAACCCTCCATTCCTCTTCCTCTGCAGGAGTGACTCATGCGGCCATCTGGGCAGCCTGCATTTCCTATCTCAGTGCAGCTGTTCCCCCTGAGCTGAGGACGTCTGCTCAGGGCATCCTGCAGGGCCTTCACCTGGGTTTGGGGAGAGGTTGTGGTGCCATGATTGGAGGCGTGTTAGTCAATTATTTTGGTAAGAATGGCTTTCTCTTTTCCCCTCTCTTCTTTGATGAAAACTTACGATTTTTCAGCAATACCTCAGTAAACACTCAAATTAGTCCTGGAGATTGACAGAACCTAAACTCCTGTAGCCATATTCTCTTCCTAGCTTTCATGGTCGTCATAATTGTAAAGCAGTGTGCTTAAGTCATTGAGATGATTAGAGCTGGCCTGTAACTGTGCACACTTCTCTGACAAACAGCTCAGTGAGATGCTACACAGATACCTCAAAGGAGCCAAACAAATGAATAAGCACATGTGCTGTCGGTTTGAAGTCAGCGACCCTAACCTGCTGATTATAATGTTACAGGGAAGGAAATCCATCATTATTATTCCATTAGGAGATTCTGAACCTAACTATATGCTGACTTTGGTAATGTCACTACATCTGTGACAGCACAGTCTGTCTGCCCTGTCAGATCTCCCTTATTGGAAATACAGGGGCTGGGTGAAGATGGGATTATTTTGTTCTAGGATCTTCACTGCTCAGTCATCTGTGGAAGGCGGGCCCTTGGATGTCTGAGTTTATAGCGCTATTTGAGCTCCAACTACAGGGCTGTTAGGTAAATGGTCTTTATGAAGAAGAGAGCGCCACTGAATTTTACGGTGAAAGGCACTGAGAGATAATTGTTTACAAATGCAGTTTTCAAATTTGACCAATGGCAGATCCCATACCAGCCCCTGGGTCTCCTGACACCTACCCAGCCCTGTGTGTTCCCCACTGTGTGAAGCTGATGGCCACTTGCCATGTTCTGGTTCCCCCCCAGCCCTGCTGCCTTGCCCTGAACTTAGGACATTGACAGTTCTGGAGGAGGGCTGCCGGCCCTCCCTGGAATCACCCTGCAGGGTGCTGCTTGTTTTCACAGGGGCTGCTGCAACCTTCCGAGGAATTGGCATGGCCTGCCTGGTGATCCTCCTGCTCTTTGCCCTGATCCAGTGGCTGGCGGTGCCAGATGAGGAAGAAGGTAGACATGTCCAGTCTTCCTAGTGGTTCTAAAGGTTGAAGCCGTGGGGAATTCCACACACACCCTCGGAAACCCAGAGGTGGCAACAGTGCACAGTAGCCCTGCTTGGCTAGGCTGTCTCAGTGGCGTATCAGTCGACTCCTGTGTACCGTTGATGGAGAGAAGCTACCTACTGTGTTGAAAAGAGTGTCGATCATCTTAAGTAGCTTGGGATATTCTTGTTTTTGTTTTGGTTTATTGGAAGTGTTGGTTTTAAATTTCTCTACTATTCTAAAGGTATTTCAAATTTAAATCAATAGATATAAGGCTATACAGTAACTTTCCTACTAGGGAGAGGAAGTAATATTATCTCTATGACTTTATCTTCCTTTGAAAAAAATGTCTAAACCTTAACTTTGAAGTTTTCCCTCAATTAGGTATGGCCTTCATTAAAATTGTTATATAGAAAGAAAGTTACATCAACTATAATGTTTAGATGAGAACACATTTTCAACTTTTTTAAATCAACTTTTTTTTTTTTTAATGAAGGCCTACCAGTAGAATGGAAATATTCCTGCTTAGCTCCTAGGTCCCAGAAAGGGCTCATCTTCTTTTGTATTCTATCCTGTGAGTGGTGATTGCTTCAAGTACCTGGGGTGCTTGTGTTAGGAAAACTAGATTGTTATAGAAACTCCAGAGACAGATTTTAATTTCAACAAGATATTCAGAAAGAAAGACCGACACTAGTTTTTCTCTTGTTCTTTTATGATCTTAACTGGATCATATCTCTTACACAGCTTAATTTCCATGCCTTCAGTAAGAGGCCAATAAAAATAGCTCTCACACGGCTTTTTCTGTTTTGATGCTTATCTTTAAAATCTCAATCCTATAAGTGGGCCTAAGGCACCATTCACTATAACCTATGCCCCACAAATGTTATATTAAGTTAAATGAACAATACATTTCATAAATACATAGAAGTTAATGTCTGTTAAGCCCTATAAGGAGACCCTGGAAGATAAACCTCATGTTCATTTGCTCAGAACTACACCAAGTAAAGAAGCAGCCCTTAGTGTACAGCAATTTATTAATGTTGCCAAGCATGGTAGAATGGGCTTATGGGATTGTCCATTTATTTTTATGTTTGTTTAAATATGTAGAAAACTCTGAAAAATGATTTAAACATGATTTTCTCTCCAGACAAGACAATGTTGGCAGAAAGGATTCCTGTTCCATCAAGTCCTGTTCCCATAGCAACCATCGACTTGGTACAGCAGCAGACAGAAGACGTCATGCCACGCATTGAGCCTAGACTTCCTCCCAGGAAAACCAAGCACCAGGAAGAACAGGAGGATGTGAACAAGCCAGCCTGGGGAGTCAGCTCCTCTCCCTGGGTGACCTTCGTCTACGCACTCTACCAAATTAAAGAGATGATGCAGCTAACAAGAGAAAACCATGCTTCTGAGATCCAGCCTTTGCAGGTAAACTTCCTCTGCTGGCCTACCTGAAGTGGGCTCAGTCTTTTAATTATTCAGTTATTCACTCAACAAGATTATGGAAGGTCTGGTGGGGGATACAGACATGTAGACAAATAATTTCAGTACTCTGTAGCAAGTGCATTGTAGAGCTGTGTACAACGTCCCATAGAGGGAAAATTCTGCCTTATGGAGTACAGGAAGGCTTCACAGAGAAGACAGTGCTTCTTGAAAGAAAGGAAACATATTCTTCTGATTTTGTAGATTTCCTTAAATTTTCAGTATTGATGGATACCAGTTGTAGTGAGGATATATGTCTCTTGCTTTGGGGGAAATTAATCTCTGTAATTCTAAAATTCTAGTGGGCGCAGTGTAAATAATATGATCTTAAATCATATCTGATGAATTAATGAATACACTGAGTCTTTGTATGAGTCTGATAAGGAAATTTAATTCAGTGGAAGTGTAGTTTTGCTGGTGGCCTCACATAAAAGATAAAATGTGAGATTTTTCTTATCCTTGGAGGTATGATCTCTCCTGAGTAAAGTCAAATCAGGTTGATAAAACTGTGGGCAATTACAACTGAAGCTATATACTGCCTTTGGAAAATGATTAAGTGTCACTTCTATGAACAGTTTGGCCAAAGTAATGAGCCCACTTCCCTGTGTTTATGTTAATCACTCCCTTTTACTTTGTGTCATGTCAGCTCTGTATCTAGAGTAGCTTTAGAGGACACACAGGAAAAACAATAAAGGGGAAAGACTTAAAGAGTAATTTGGGTAACTTCCTTTTTAGCAAATTTGAACTACCTTTATCACAACTTTGTAAACGTATATTTTTATAATTTAAACCAAACCTCATTCTTCATTGATAACCATAATGCATTCTGGTCTGTGCATGATCCTACTTATTAAGATAATAAACACACAAATCCTCTTAGGAAGGAAAGTGTCGGGTGAGGGGACGTATACGAGATGTAAAGCAGGAGGTGAAGCAGGAGAAAGGATACCTTCTGCTTGAACAGCAGTGTTTTCATTACTTTGGGTACCACTCATCATTTTCACAGAAGCCTCTGAGGCTTAAGTGTCATTAAATTTTTTTCTGGTATGTTAAGATTATATGTTAATAAAAACTGGCTAGTATGGCTCAGTCTTATGAAGAAGCCATTATTAAGATTTTTTTTTTCATTTTAGAATCAATCACAGAAATAGTTGTTTGTATTTTTTGGTGTTCAGCTATTTGAAGTGATAGGTATTAATTCAGAGGAAAACCTGTTTGTTTGTTTTTAAAAGTGTGTCCTGATTTGTAAAAATCGGGAGTGTGGCATGGAAGGTAGCAGTGTGGCATTTACAGACATGCTATGGGTGATGTGCTAGAGCGAGTGTGGACTCAGTTACTTACAGTTTGTTACATGCTTGTTTACATTCCCTTTTTTTATGTGAATGTTATGTCTTATTTAACTTTTAGTGTATACCTATAAATCCCAAGTATATATAGGACTCTAAATTGCAGGACATTGTTTTCCTGGCCGTCTCTGAGACTGAAAATGCCTTACTTCCTTTTAGACAAGGTGCCTTCCAACTGCTGAATTCTATGGTCCCAGCAAGTGGTTCTGAGTTTCAGTTCTGTGCCGCTTGCCCAGTGACTAGCCACTATGGCTGGTGGGAGCTTCGTAAATATTTGCTGATGTAAATTGTATTATTCCTAGTAGTAACAGGCGTTTTGATAGTAATGTTCCTCTATCCACAAGATATGTCTGCTTATAGTGTTTGTGTTTTTCATGCGGCTTTGGCAGTTGCACATAGGAAAAGAGATGAAAGGTAAGACATTCTACCCTTTTTCCTCTATCACCTGTTCCCTGAAGTAGTCACTTGAGGATGATCTCCCAGTGTTTCCTGTAAAAGATGGGTTAGTTTGCTAGCGCTGACCGTGAGCCATCTCCCATTTTTTTTCCTTCCAGGGGACCAGTGAGAATCGGGGAGATTCTCCAGCTGGTGGAGCCCGGCCTGTCCCAAGTGAGATTCATTCCGACTCATCTAGAAACCAGCCATCCCCTCAAACAGCAACATCTCAGACGCAGAGCAGCTCTGCTCACCCCAGCGTGGACCAGCATGCAAAGGAGAGTGTGGACCAGCATGCAAAGGAGAGTGAGGGCCAGAATGCAAAGGAGAGTGAGGACCAGCAGGCTCAGCCTGCCACTAGGGGACACTGAGGGGGCCTGCTCGTCTCACACCCTGCATGGAACTGGGCTCCTCTGCCAGGACAGATGGAGAGGTGTCCCGAACCCAGCACACGCCTCACCTTGAGGAGCATCACACCACATACACGCTTCTAAATATCTGAACCCATTAACATGGAAAACATACACACATAGTAGCTACAGTACATATTGGCAGAAAGAGTTAAAATTCCATAATCCCACTGGAATCACAGGAGGAAAATGGAATTCAGTGAGGACTTTCCGTTCTTTGGTTGGTTAGTTTAAGGACTACAGGACCTCTCTGCCAGGGCAGTAAGAGTTGAAGCTAGCAGTTACACTAAGTAAGTGGAGGGAAAGAAAGTGTTTCGAGGTGAGTGCTGACATAATTTCCCTCTTCTGATTATTTATTCTAATTATTTGGTTCTTAATGCAAACTGGGAAGAAACAATACACCTATAATTCTGTTTCTCTTAAAGAGAACCATTTAAAAATTGTCCGATTTAAAAAATACAGTAAGCAGATAAAAGTTAGAATATATGCTTTTGTTTAAAAAAAAAAAGGAAAAAGTTTCATCAGAAACGTGGCATATCTCTAGCAAATATATTTTTATATGTGTATGGTATATAATGAAAACAGTTGATTATTTGAGCAAAAGCTGTTATTGACTAAAGCTAAGCTGAGCTTTAAAATGCCTTTTGTTTTAAATGGGCTTTGAGACCAGAGGAGGGAATATTCCATAGACCCGACCAACTCAGTATCCTGTCGCCTGATAGACAGGGGTTTACTAAATACACTGATACTGTAAATAGCCTCTGTCACTATTTACAATTTTAGTGATTCAGGCTCTACTCAGATGATGGAATTTTTTTTAAAAAAATACTGAATTCCTAAGGGTTTCTTTAATTAAGCAGTACTATTTACAAATAACAGTATATGATTTAAGTGCCTGGGGGAGGGATACAGTTTTTAAAAATTACATAATGGGTCCAGTTTTTGCTCTTTTTGGTGAGAGGGGAAAAGGTAGTGAATAGGAAACCAGGACTGGAAAGGACAGTAAGAAGTAACTATACTTCCCAATGACTGAAGACACAAATCTCAGTCTATTCTTTCCCGGGAAGACACAGTCAGACACTGGACAGCTAGATGTGGGTATGCTGCTGAAGCTGTTACAGCTACTGTCAGAACAATGTCTGGGTTATGCGCATAAAGCTTGCTGCTAAACATGAAAGCCGAGGCTAACGGAGCCTGGGAGCCTGTGGAAAGGGAACGCTGCTTCAGCGGAGGGAAGGTCAGCTACGCTGTGTGTGTGGAATAGCTGTGGGTGGGCACAGGAGGGCAACGAAAAGGACAGACTCAGAGAGAGCGCCGCCCTTTACCCCGACCCTGACTGCTTAAACAGGATCAACTGTAAAGTAAGAGCTGCTCCACGATATCATACTTCTGCCTAAAACTGCATCTGGGAGAAGAAATGCCACGCTTGGATATCTAGCATCACGAAACACAGCTTACAAAAATAACGGAAAGAAACAGAATTAGGCAAATAGTTATTTTTGCACTTGAACTGAAATGTACTGTACTATAAATTATCATGACTCATTTTAAGTGACCTTTACAAATCAGATGTATTTATTATGCTTATGTAATTATAGAAATAAAGAAGTGTGTGACAGGCTGAACCTCGCCTATGAATGTACAGTATGTGGATTTGTGAAACTGACTGTAGGCAGTCAAAATCTTACACTGTATCTTGTGTTTACAGTTCTGATGTGTTCATTTGAAAAGCCTGCTGTTTTGGAAATGCACAGTTGAAATGTTGAGATAAAAATAAATACCATTTTTAAATATTTCTTAAATGATAAAGAAATGGCCAAACCAATAGAAGTCCTTTACCTGGAGTGAATAAGAGCAGATTCAACAGGACTTTGTTATGAAACATGGCCTGTGAGAGCTGCTTCACTAATGCAGTGATTTCCAGCCTTTTAGAGCAGACACTTTCATGGGTTTGTGGACTTTGTGCCCTTTCTTCCTATCCTCCAAGTGCCATTTTAAAACATATTAAAGTGAATTCAAATTAAATTGATTTGAGAACTTTATAACCCTCTTTAGACTTCCCGGAAATACCGAGGGGTGTCACAAAGCCCAGGATGGTAATCACTGCCTTAATGACTCATTTCATACTTTTTCCTCTGTGATTGTAGAAAAAGGGAACTACCCAAAGTGCTGAGCTTATGTGGATGCAAAGATGTTAGCGGCTAATTATTAAACTACTACTCAAAGCCTTAAGTAGAATAATAGATGACTGTGAAGCATATAGCTCCATTAGCCAGTAAGCCCCATGAAAAGCCTAAACAAGTCATAGGAAGAAAGCTGCTTTACTGGCCCTGTGCAGCGGTAGTTGGCTAAGCACTTCCCTCTGATCTGCGGTCCCTCCAATACTGATGGAGCGGGGGCTGCTGCTGGCACCAGGACCATTACTTACACAGTATTTCTTGCAGCCAATCCGGAGTCGAGCAGTGAACCGAGGAAAAAGGGAACAGCACCCATAGTCGCTGGGTGGTTCTTCATGTGGTGATGAGATGATCCTTGTCACTGTCCCCACTTTAAATAGGAGGTTTCTGGAGCTAACACTGCTTAGTTCTGGGGCCAAGGTCACAAAGCCAGGATTCTAACTCAAACCCGATGCCACAGCGCAGGTCTACCAGACCGCCCTCCACCCCAGGAGGCATGGAGGCCACTCATGCTTCGGTGTCAAACAACCAGAAAGCAGCCCTACTCTGAACCCCTACCTCATGTGCATGGTACTCTTATGTGTTTACATTCAGGATTTCTAGATATTCCCAGACACCTGGAAATCCAGCACCTTCAAATCCAGCTGCTTTGTTACTTGTGAGTCCCAGACCCCACACACTCTGGAGGCGACTTGGTTTGACATCCTGGCAGAGAAGACCCGGAGGGTGGCAGGGACTCGGAAGACCAGTGCCACAGAAATCAGGAAGGATTTATATCTGGTGTGTCTTTTTTAAAAATTATTTAATTTTTCTAATTTTTAGTGTATTTTACAGAACTATTGTTTGTGATGGACATGGGGGACTGGTCCATCACCCCAGCTAGTTTAGAAGCACTGTTGTGGACCATGATATACTGTACACAAAACTACAAGGCACATGTGACTGGCATATGTATAACATCAACAGATGCAGTCATCTCTTGAATGGATTAGCTATGGGGCCACTTCCTTGACTAACTTTTTTTTTGTTCTTAAAGACAGCAATAGAGGAAGTAGAAAGGGCGTGGGCACTGACACTCTGGGGCTCAAATTCTGATTCTACCACTTTAGCTATGTATGTCCTTCTGCAACCTTCTCTTACCTTCTCTGAATCTTTCTTCAACTGTAAAGTGGAAACAATACTAAAACATCTTACAGAGTAGTTAGGTTCAGATGAAGAGGCATCGAAAGTATCTAGTACAGTGCCTGATAGATCTCCAACAAATACTGATACTTTCCCCCTTTCTCCTTTTCATCACTGCTTTTTTGGAAAATGGACCAAATCCAAAAACAAACATCCCCCCAAATTATTAAAACAATAAGCAAGAGCAGCTGTCCCGCTGAATGCACCTCCTAAGGTTTATCCTGGTAAATACATACTCATCCCTAATCTCTGGTGACCCATTAAGGTAACAGGTGCAGGGATCATAGCAAAAATATGCAAAGTTACCGTAAGACAACAAGGCTTGTAGGCCAGAGGGAGACTTAAGGTTTTACCATATCTTACTGAAGAACATGCCCACTAGAAAGGGTTTCTGATATTGATCAATACCAAAAGGTTAGAAAAAGAATCACAGGAAAAAGTGTCAGGGCCTGCACAAAGAAAGGCGTGGTCTTTGCCAGCAGGCTGGGTGTCTCATCACTTCAGTAAGGTTAGCCCGTTGGGGGGGGAGGGTGTTGCATTAAACTTCTTGGCCTGATGACATTAAACATGCAAATAATACAGCAGACGCCCTCTGTCCTCTGTTCACCAAGCAACGTTCTTACTACAGTTTGACCCCTTGTGGATCTGCCTTCTGAGAGAGAATCTGCTAGTCATATCAATTCAACTGTTTTATCCTTATGCTAGTTCTATTGTTGGCCATGAATCACTAAATGGACAGGCTATATGAATTGGCTAATATGAGAAAGGTCGTCTTAGGGTGCAATGACAAAAATCAAGGTTCTGAATCAATAAAGCCAAGAGTCCCGTCCATACGGTTACATCATCAATATCATACCCAGTGGGCTATCTCAGAAAGCAGCTGGCTCCTGGCATCACCTAAAAATACCTCTCACTGCAGGCTTCTTCAAAATTCCATATCCATTACGTTACCTATGCACAGGATCCTTCTATCAGCTGGACAAAAAAAGCTGATTTTAAAAACCACTTCTCGCCTGGCCGGGCGTGGCTCAGCGGTTAAGCGTCCACCTAGGATCCAGGCAATCGGTTCGATTCCCGGTCAGGGCACAGGACCGGGTTGCGGGCTGCAGCCGATCAATGACTCTCTCATCATTGATGTTTCTATCTCTCTCTCTCCCTCTCCTTTCCTCTCTCTGAAATCAATAAAGATATATTTAAAATAAAAAAAAAGATCTAAGCTCCACCTTTAAAAAAAAACCAAAAACTATACTTCTCTAACTCTGGGGAATAATCACATACAGAATAATATAAGATCCTTTTTCTTTTATTGACCTCATTTCAGGGGTCTTAATTCACCTACATGTTTAGATACATTGATGTAACCCATCATCTATTATAAACCTCTTAAAATCTAAAAGATGTTTTTAGGTTTTAAAAAAAGTCATTAATTCAAATATCATTCTAAATGTCAGATGGACACTCCCCTGTAATTCACCCCTAAGTATTATCGGCAAACTATATAACTAATTTGCAAGGCATTTTTTTGTGATATGTTAAAAACTTTTAAAAATAGCAATTGAATGATACAATTGTTCAAGCATGGCCACCTCCGCTATATCTAACCCACACTTTTTGGTCTCAAATAGTCCAGCTTGCTAACAACAGTAAGCTTTTGTGAGGCACCAAGCGAGTGTAAGCAATGACACAACAAAGAGTTCTGTTAGGCTCCGCAGTTGCACACCTCTGACTGTGAAGCACAAAGCGAACTTGCAACCACCTGTGAAGAAGAGAGCTATTTTACTGAATGGTCATTTAACCCATTTAAAGGCCTTTAAGTAAAGAAAGAAAGCAGGGGAGGGAGGAAGAGACTGGGAGAGAGGAAGAAAAGGAGGGGGAAAGATTCTTATGGGAGTTATCTATATATTGCTTGATGGGGATTAGAACTGTGATGAGCACTATAATAAACCCCAAATCAAATGAACACAACAGAAATCCACCAAATATATTACAAGAAATGTTTTTAATGGTTTAACTTTTCACAGTACTCAAATAACAGACACTGACAAATCCATGATTTCCTCTAAAAAAACAACAACATGAAAAACAACATCCTGGAAGACTGTTGCTCTATTTCCCCTTCTTGAGCTGTTTTTGTGATGGTTACTCCCAGCTTGGTCAGCATCTCTTTACCCTTGGCACGGGTAAGGCCTAGTGACTGTCCTGGGGGGATGTCTCCTGGGGACTCCACAGACTCTTCACATGTTAGTCCCACACATTTTGTAGGACACAGACTGCCTCTTGGGAGAGGAACATGGTGAGCACAACCACTGATGTACCTGATACATTTATGTGTCACCAATAAATATAATCATAAAAAATCAGATTGAACTATAACAAAAATGATGTTAGAATTGTTTACACTTATAAAACATCACCATCATAAATTTGAATGGAAGACTCTGATTTTTAAAATCAGAGGCTATGTGAATGCACAGATTGAATTTAGTGCATTTCACAAAAATAACAGAGCTTCTAATACTAAAAGGGTCTGGCAAAAACAGACCTATGAAACATTGACACACTGCTTAAAGAAGAAGTATCATCTGAAAACCAATCTAGAAAGTTTCAAATGGGTAGATGCACTATTATTCAACAATTTAGAACAACTCTACTAAATCTGGCTCAGGAAAGCAGTGCCTAAATTCTCTACAAGTCTCACCGCTGCAACCTCTCTTCCAGTAAAAGACTGCTCATTCTCTATGCCTCTGTTCTTTATGGTCCCATCACAGCAAAGAAGCAGAAGTTTGATTCTTAGAACCAATTTAGCAACATCTTGAACGCTTGGATTGTTTTACCATGTCCAGATCTTTTCTTAGACCTATGGTTAGGCCTCCTTTGCTCAGGGTCAAAGCTCACAGTTAGTCTCTCATTTCACTCTGAAGTTACATATGATGAACCAAGAGCAACAGATTTGTTCTCTGTATGAAAGATCACAAATATGTTTTGTAGGAAATTGTTACCAACATATAAAACTAAACAAATTTTAAAAAATGAACGAGTCAACTCAAAATGTCACAAGAGATTAAATGCCTTCAATTTCAACACACAAAAAAATACAAAAAGTAATTCTAATTTCTAATCCTGATTATATGTCTATAAAAGTCTTATCAAAACTTTAAAATATAATCTTAGGAAATGTTCCCCTTCATCACAGTTACTAAACAGCTAGTTGGCCATTATTTTAAAAAAAGTCACCAATACTGTGAGACCCAAGGCTGTAGGGAGATGACCTCTTGGCTTGCCTTTAAAGGTCTCTTTTACCTGAGTCATAGGAAAGGCTAGGACTGAAGCTCCAGTCCCAGTGCTGCCTTTAAATAGCTTTATGGTCTTCAACAAGTTGCTAGGGCTGCCTTTAAACAGCTTTATTGTTTTTGAACAGGTGGTTTAACCTCCCCAAACCTCAACTCCTCCATCATTAGCATTTTCTCAGCATATGTGCCAAGGAATATTAATCTGAAAAATGGTTCTGTGGTCAAATTAAGTCAGAAACTGCTACACACAATTTCTCCTCTTTAGATTCATAATGTTAATTAGCATTAGTAAAGGTTCTGAGAAGTCCTGCAGTACTTTTGTTTAACTTTGTGTCAATCTTAGTTGACCTCAGAATCCCTTTACTGACTAATGCTTATTAGCACCTGTGGACAGTAGGTTGGAAAACACTAGTCCAGCATATCTCAGTCTCTGCCAGCACTTACATTGATAATATTTAGGAAGGTCAATGTAGTGTCTTGTGACACAGGTTCTAGGGATTGAGAAGATTTAATGCCCTGACAAGGCACCTGTTCCTGCCTACTGGCCCCTTGAAGATAAACACAATTCCCTTGTTCCTAATGAAAATCTTCATTCAAGGAAAGTAGTTATGGCAGTCATAGAATCTTGGTGGCCACCTCCAGTACAATAAATAGCAGAACTGGCCAAAGATGATCAGTTATCTTCAATACAGTTTAGTTTTCCTGTCCAGTGTGACTTAATTTTTCTCCATAGCAAATTCTTTTGCCACCGTTCCCTAGAACTTTAAAAGGATCCTTGGCTCTTACACACTTCCTGGTCCAGAATGCAGTCAACGTGTAGGTAGACTGTTAGCAGTCCCCAGGTTAAAGAGCTGCTCTTCCAAGAAGGCACCCCCAAGGCCGTACTGTTCTTCATGAAGACTAATTTCTTCCGGTGACAAGTGGCTTCCTCCAAGAACAAAGTCTGCAAACCTATTAAGTATTTTTTTGTTGTTTTAAATAAAGTTAATGTTATCATGGAAAGGTTTATTTGCAAGATAACAGTTCCCTTGCTATGAATTCTCTTTAATTAAATTGGATTTTGTGGCAACAGAGAATGGCATTTATACAATGGGTGTAAAACAGGAATGGCTTATGTGATCCTTCTCGAGATATTCAAGGGAAGGGTAGAGAAGTAGGCAGACATAAGCACTGAGTGCTGCCAAAGAACCCACTCATGTTTTCTAATTCCTCTCTTTTCTCTCTCTTGTTAGTTTATATTTATTTATTTATTATTTTAGTGTCAATACTTTCCCCCTCCGATCTTTAATTTGAGTGCATTGGTGTTTGAATAAAACTATGAAGAAGGGAAAGCAGTAAGGGAAAAGATGTTGGGACAGAGATGCCTTTCTTGGTGAACTTGAAAAATTATTTTCCATACCAGTAGAATGAGAAGCAGGTGACATAGCCCATTCCACCTTTCTCCTTCTCATAGGAAAGTTATCTTTATGGCCTTCCCTATAAAACAGGTCAGGTCAATATTTACTGACATTAGCCATTCTACTGTGCAAGTCAGAGCACTGAGGAGAAAGAACCTCTGACAGCCTCCACATCATGTTATCCAGGGAAGTAGTCTGTTTCTAGTCTGAAGTATCTGTACCAACCATCACAGTATTCTCACAATAACTCCAACCCCAGCTGTGGTCCAAGTAGCTGAACAGGGCTTACTTTTTAGGAGCCTGGAGTCTGGAGATGGCCAGCCAGGATGGGAAGTCGGGTCTGCGGCAGGCTTGGCGCAGTTCCTCCAAAGCACTGGTGGTTTCTGCATCAGCTTGTTCCCTGTATTCATCTTCAGTAAGATACTTAACTGCCAGCTTTCTTGACGTAAACCATTTCTTCATTTTCCTAAGACATGTGGCATTTGGTTGCTAGATTCCTGGCCATCTCTGATTATTCAATTCAACCCTTAAGATTTTGGAAATATATTTCCTTGACAGCAATAGCATTTCTTAACTTCCTTTATATTACTATACTTTTTATTTTTGCTATCGTGAATGAGGTACTTAGAACATGCAGTGTGAGCCTGCTAGTACATTTCCCCTCTTCTGGACCATCCTAAATAATGACATAAGGCATTTGAGGATCAATTTCCAATAGAGATGTTAATTGTATCTTTCTTCCTCGGTGATTTCTAATCATACAGTCAGACAAAAGTCTGGCTTCTTTATGCTTGGCCTGCTGATTTTCTTGGGCACTAACAGAAGCAAGCCTTTAAGATGCCCTTTTATGGAGACACAGTAAAATCACTCACCACTTATCTTCTAGACAGAAAAGCAGGAGGATTTGTGGGATATCACCTCCACCTAGTGGTAGTGATTCTGACTAATGCTGGAGAGAGGGAGTGAATATTGTACAAGGGCTGTGTATGTACAATGATTTATAATAATTCTTGCTTTGCCACATGCTGAAGTGCTCATGACTGGAATTTTTTTCCTACCAGGTAAGTCCTAAAGGGAAGAACCTCATAAAAAATGGTAATGATGATAAGGTTTTAACATATATATTTATAAATAAGTTTTTTAAGTGATTTTGGGTAGTCTGAATTTTAATTTAACCAGCGATTTCCAAATCTGAATGAGCATCAGAATACCAGCAGGTGTTTTGAACTTGTATTTTTCTTAAGGATTGGGACCTGAAAATCTTTTAACTTTTAAAGATCATCTGGTGGTTGACATGCTAGATTAGGGAAGCACTGACATTATTTCCTTCTCCTTTTCTGAATACCTAGCCTGGTCTCCTAGAGGAAAAGCCTGGCCCCTGAACAGAAGACTGTGCACAGTCCTGGCTTTGAGGTTCACGTGCTGTGTGAACTGCGACAATTTCTTAATAGTTCTGAGCCTCAATTTGCTCATATGAAAAAACTGAAAGCAGCAGCATCTACCTCATGAGGTCACTGTAGAGATTAAAAGGTGATATTTTGTATAAAGTGCTTAGCACAGTGAGTGGCCCATAGTAAGTGTTCAATAAGTATGATAATAAAGATAGCTACCATATATTATAAAAATATATTCAAATAGTTCTTTGCAAACTAGAAAGTACTCTAGATATCAAGGTATGATTTCTTTGGTTTATTATTTAACCTATTAAGTTCCTGTTTTATCTTCACATAATTATTCACTAGCAAAATGAAAAGTTGAGGAAGTTATACTACATTTTGATTATTACATTCATGATAACAGAATACACAGCAAGTGCTTAAAAGAACCATGGTGCAGCTGACAGAACACACTCTGCCCTTGGCAGGGCAGTTGGATGTTTAAAGGGAAAGAGGAAGAAATTCTATCCTGGGTTCCTCAGGATGCAAGCCTGGCAAATGACCAGAGGCCTGGAGGATGTGAAGTGGTCAGCCTCCTCCCGGCAGAGGGACCTGCCACTATCCGGCTCTGACACGGGGTAGAGAGACCAGCCAGCATCAGCCTCTCCATCCTTGCCCTGCTGCCTTTCAGCTTCGCCAGTATCCTCTGCACAGGGGCTCTGTCCTGACACTGGTCCATTTTTGAACCTGTGATATCACCACACATGCAGTCACCAGGCCCATAAACTACCAGTTAGTTACCACAGTTTCCTTCCTTACAGCCAAGCTTGCCTCATAAATATTTATCAACTCCCTCTTCCAGTCTTGGTCTCACTGCCTTCAGGTCCTCATCTCTCCCCCAGACCACTGTGATGTCTGATGTCTGGTCTCCTGCCCAGAACCTCCCCCTTATACACACCCGCTGCCTGATGGGTGTTGATGGTCTTGGCTTTGATTTTTGCTTATTGAATATTTTTCTTTTCAAATTAGTTGTCAACATTTAAAAAGCGTAAGAACTCACATTGTAATCCATATTCCTAGCTTTTCTAGAAAACCAGAAGATCTGGCAAAGCAGGAACCACATTCCCACATGGCAACAATTGCTCAAGCTGAGTGGTAACTGCCCCTTTTCACTGAAGCTGCACTGTAAAATTTCCCAACAGTCCTCATGCTCGGCGTCACGCACTCAGTACCTGCCAGGGCCCCAAGCATTTGGGTACATAACTCATGTCTAGGCATTAGTCACGGACACTGACTAAAATGCATATTGGTTACCTCCTTCCACTGTATACAGACTAGATTTATTAGTAACGGCCTATGAGGCCTCTATGACCTGTCCGATGCCCACCTTGCTCACCTGCTTCATGATGGTACAGAACTGGGCTTTCTGTCAGGAAAGCCCTTCCTACATTTAGTCATCTGGCTATTTTGACTCATTAAGATTCAGCCCAGTGCCCAGCCAGTGTGGCTCAATGGTTTAGCATCTATCTAGGAACCAAGAAGTCATGGATCGATTCCCGGTCAGGACACATGCCCAGGTTGCATGCTCAATCCTCATAGAGGGTGTGCAGGAGGCAGCTGATTGATGGTGTTTCTCTCTCATTAATGTTTCTATCTCTCTATCCCTCGCCCTTCCTCTCTCTCTTAAAAAAAAAAAAAAAAAAATCAAAAAAAAAATCTTTAAAA